GTTAAGTATCTCAAACCACACTGGTTTTGGATGGTTGGGTTACAAAACGGTGCACTCTATTTCTCTGTTTGCCCTGAAATCTTCCTACTAAGACTGTCTTCCCTCAAGGAGCGTCTTTACTGATATAATTTCTTCAGGAAAATCAGCTAATAGCTCCAATATCCATTCTCCTCAGTGTTAGAAGTGTAGGTAGTTTTTGCATTTTTCTCTGCTGTGATGCCACACAGAAGGACCAGTAACATGAGGTGGTAACTGCCTGCAGCTATTCTGTACAAGTATTAATTCTGTGCTGTTTCTAACTCATCCAAGAGTCTCCAAATGGGCAAAACACATTCTTTGTGCTGAACCTGGAAGTGCTTGTAATTTACACGACTAATGAATGTTACCTGAGAACACATTTTGAGAGCAGACTGTGTGTTACTCGTAGTCTGCATCACCACAGGATGCTGCTGCTTCGTCTTACCTGGCTAAAAATCCTAACCAGTTTCCCTCCAACCTGTTACTGGTACAGGTAGAATGTTACACAGTGTCTTTAAAACGTACTTACACACAGTGGAGGATTGCTGTCCCATAGGGCTTCATGTGGCATATTCCCATAGGAACTCTGGAAACATATGGATACCACAACCAGTAACCCCTGGAGGGAGGTTCAGAGTGTAAAATATGGTCTTTAGCAACATGAACTGTAATAAAACATGCACAGATGTTTTTATCTGGACACAGGCAGCTGCCGTGGGGCATCACTTCTGTTCTCTGAACAAGTGCAGAGGAAATGCATTGGGAAATTTAAGAATGGGGTTAGTGGCGAGGAACATTGGGCTTGCATTTAACTGCTGCATTGCTTTTGTCAATAAAGAAAGAATCTTCAGGTTATTATCACAAATCCAGGTGGTTCTTCCCCAAACTGACCTGCTGCCATTTATTTATTTCCAACTCATAATCACCAATGGCCCAGCTGCAGCCTTACAGTGGTGTTATAACAGGCAAAAAGGAGACTTTTTTTTTCCATTAAGGCAGGGAGGAAAGAGGGGGGAACTCAAGAAATAACTTCCAGCCCTTTCTTTTTTAAGCAGTTTGTTCTGGGAGGAGATTCAAAGTTTGTCTCAAACTTACCTGTCTTCCCTCTGTTTAACAGAAGTCAGCGAGCGACTACACCAACTTTGACAGAGAATTTCTGAGTGAGAAGCCAAAACTGTCTTACAGTGACAAAAGCCTGATCGAGTCCATGGATCAGTCTGCATTTGATGGATTCTCTTTTATTAACCCTAAATTTGAACAGATCTTGGACAAATAAGTCTCTGAACAGTCGGACTCTAAACCAGATTTGAAGGTTATAAACCGAAGACTCCCAAGTGCTCGGTGTTGTGCACTCCAACAATGTTGTCCATACTTCAGAATAATACACAGCTGTGTGATTAACTATGTCCAGCTCCTGATTTATTGGCAGTGTTCCTTTATGCATGGTTGGGTTTAAGGTATGTGAATCATGTGCATTATTTTCTCCATTTGGGGAAAATGTAAATTGTGTTTGGTACTTGAATGTAGTTATGTTATATATAATATATATGCTGTATATTTTGCTCGAGAGAAGACACTGGGGAACAGAAGATGTCTTTTTAAAAAGTGTTTTGAGCCCTCAGTTCTTTTATTTGTCTTCAATTAAAAGAAAGTTACATCAAACTTTCATTCAAACATGGTTTTATGGTATTTGTTTCTTTCTAGAAATACAGAATTAAACTCCAGTTGTCTTTAAATTACAGTAAAAAGTAGTAATTTGCAAGCCCTGATCACATATAAAAGTAACACAGACACTGAAAATGGCGTGGGAACAGCTCGGTGCCACCCCTCCCGTTTGTAAAGCCTGTCTCACTGAGAGCAGTCAGTGCGTGGAGTCAGGATTCACTGATCATGCAACACCTTTAAGGCAGCATAAGCTTGAGTATCCCACAGCAGGCAGAGCACGCTGCCTGTGAACATGTTGAATGTTCCTCCTGTTAACAGGAACATGCCCTGTGATCACAGCATCTTACCAGGAGAAGACTGTCAGGTGATGACCTTGTGCTGCCACTTCCCAAGTCTGACAGAGAGAACTGCTGAACTGCCAAGCACAGAATCTTCGTTCCAGCCCTGTTTGCCTCTTTCTAGCACAGCAGCTGTGGCTCCCTCCACTAGCTGTAAAAAAGGCACAGAACTACATCCTGCTTCATCACAGTATCTACGTGTGAATTTTGATTTTTAATCATTAATAAGAAAGAAAAACTAATGAATTACTGCAGAACGCATCTTGCAGTCAGCTCCTAAAATCGAGGATGGAGCAAGGTCCCTTGCTTCTCAACACCGTTCTCAACTTACTCCTCAATTACTAAATCTGTTACTTAAATTATTTGTCAGAGTAAAGCAAGCAATGGGATAAGTGAACTTCATTCTTACTGCTTATGTGTAAGCTCTCTTAACCAGGCTCCAGTTCCTTCCTCCACAGCTGTGGAAAGCTGCTGACCTGCAGGAACACTCACCTGGCACTTCAGCTGCCACAAAGGAACATGGAAAGAAACCCACATCAGCACTTGTCACAGCATTTGATCTTTATTACTTGGATCAAAGGTCAAATGATTACATTTGTCTGAAAGGTTACGACGAAGGCCAACAACTTAAGAAAAGACAGTTCAGTCCTGTTTGAAAGGACTGCATCTGAGCTAGCAAGGGCATTAACAGTCAGAAGGCAGTAAAATAAACACGGGTACAAATACACAAAGTCAGGACAAGGGGTTTCTCCTCCTCTGTCAGGAGGGGGATGTACTCTGCTTTGAGACAGTGACAGTAGTCTCCAGTTCCTACCAGTGCCTCTCCAAAAAGGTGGTTATGGCCCAGGGAGATCCACCATTCACTTCCAACCTACATTCATTGTCTACACTTGCTCCTGCCAGCTAGAAAGGGTCAGATGCAGCCAGGGCTTTAACACCTTCCTAATGTACAACAGACAACGTCATTAATCTTTTTTTCCTCTTCAAGTATCAGCACAACAGTTTATTTACACTTGTACACAATTCTTTTTTACTGAACACCCAGTTTAGTAAAACATTCATCACAGTATATTCAAAAGCAGGCTATGAAAATACCTACCATACATAAAACATTTAGCCTCAAGGAATTTTACAGCACCTCGGAGTTGAGAGAAGTAAAAACAAAGACAGGGAAAGGGGAGACACCTCAAGCCGTGCTTGCCAGTGAGAAGAAGCGGGCCATGGCCTCAGCTCTCATTAGGGGAAACCTTTTCCTCCCACTGCATCTCTTCAACCAGGTCCCAGCTCAAGGAAGTGGCCCCCCAGGCTGCAGGTAAAACCCACATTGCCGAGACAGCTCCTGGGCTCTGCCCTCTGTAACTACAGATAAACTCTGACTTTCTCAATTCAACAACTGTTTAACAGCTCCTGGCCACGGCTGGACAGTGAAGGTCTGGGGGAGTGCAAGGGCTGTGTGGAGCACAGCAGAACGCACCTCAAATCAGGAAGGGGAATGCTATACTTCTGCCTCATTAACTACACATCAATAAATTAACTTCTCCAAGCATCACTGTGGTCTCTCTCCTCACTCAATAACAGACACAGCTGAACTAATGATGATCTGCAAAGGGATCGCACACTCAAAGCTTTAGACGGCAGCGCTCGAAGCAAGGGCTCCTGGTTGTTCTGTACCCTACACCTTCCTCTTCTGCAACAGAGCCCAGCGATGCAGCATGGCTTACTTCCAGAGCTGAATACATTGCTGAATTGAGCTTATTAAAGTAAAATCACAACAGCAGCACGTTACTTTATAAACCCTGCACAAACAAAAGACCCCTTAGCCCTTGCCTGCAACACTACATTACCAGGGCCCGCTGTTTCACACAGAATCAAGCAAAAGAAACAGCCAAACCCCAACAAGATTCATGGCGAAAGCTCAGGTAATTGAAGAGAAGTCCTCACTAAAAACACAGTCCAACTACCAAAGAACAAATCTCGATTCAGAACTAAGAGCCAGCAGTGGTGCTGGCAGCTCCCTTGTCTGTAACACGCGTACAAAATACACCTTGACAGACACAGGAAATCCCATTTTTAGCACTGGAGCTTCACAGGGTATAAAAGAGCAGCAGAGAACTGGGATGACAGAAGCAGCCTAAAAGCAACATTTAAAAGCCCAAGGGAGGTGTGCCACGTTAAAAGTACTGTCAGGATTTACCTGGTGCTTTTCTTGCATGAGCTGTTAGAATGGTTAAACTCCACCTAACTTTTTGTACTGTTTCCTGCCGTACATAATAAACGTGGCTATAAAAGAGAAACACAGACTTTTATGTTGAATTTGATTCCAAAAATGGCCTAAAATAACGTAAAAAATCACAGCACTGATACAGGCAGCAGCTTCTCCAGCCCCTGACAGCCTGAATCCTCTTCCCACCTCGGAAAAGCTGCTCATCCCCTCCTGTAACTGCAGCAGAAAGGATGCTGCTCTCTCCATCCACTGCCCAGGCTGCCAGCTGGTCTCACACTCACGTCCCTCCCTTACCACTGTCTTCCACTGCCCTCCAGAACACATCTGGTCCCTGGAGAACGTTCACTTTTCGCTAAACCAGAACCTTCCAGGCTGCAAATCCGGCTTTAATGCTTCTATTTCCCAAAGGGAAAGCCTCCCATTTCAGAAAACTTAAGCTGTGGTTGGCAAACTGAACACACAAAGCTACCAGGGCTGCCCATTTCAAGCAGTTGTGCAACACGAAGCCTCCAATGCTCAAAATGTACAGTTTCACCTACGGTAAATACGCCAGCCAACATCCCTGTGTAATTCCAGGCAATCATTCACAGTACAAATAAGAGGAACTCTTAGAAAAACACTTAAAAAAAAGAAAGTAGCATCTAATTAAAATCTGACAGCAAAACTGCCACGGGCACCAACCAGCGCGTAGTGTCCACGATGAGCAATAAAACCCCACACTGAAACGGCACAAATCTACATACAAAAAAGTCTAAACCCAACTCTGCTTCCCATCACTCTTTTCACTGATACCTTTGGGCACTGGGAGTTATCCACAACTACAGGTTTGCTCCAAAGAAGCCGAATCACATCCCAAAAGTCTTCAAGTGAAGGGGAGGCGCGTTGGTTCCAGCCCACTCAGCAAAACCTTCCCCATCCTCCTGGACCTGAGCTGCTATTCCCACTCTTTCACTGGAGGAAGGGTGGCCCCCCTGGGAACTGGAGCTATAGGTGGTTGGGCACTGTCCTCAAAGCTTCTTCTCTTGACCGATCCACACCAACATTCTGCAAATGAAAGACAAAAAGGCTTTAAAGCAAGGCCCACGTGGTCGGCTGTAGTTTCACTTTAACACAGCTATGGCACAAGGCAAAAGGGGAGCGAGTTTTAATGCTGATTTCCTCAAAATGTGGGCTAAACCACAAGGAAAGGTCCCAGGCCGTGAGCACAAGTCAGAAGCCAGGAGCAGGTCTTGTACCACCACAGTCCAGGTCCCTCTGATGCCTGAAGGCAGCTGCTTTGCTGCCAGTGACAAAGCAGCTCCGAGACACGCATCCCGGGAGCAGCCTGGTGGGACAATCGGGCTCTGTGCACCATACACAGCTCACAGGGCTATGGGGGTTTAAGACTTTGTTTCTTTAACCCCTGTTTTGAACCACTCTTCCAGCCTTTATGCATTCAGCGTAAGAAAAACCAGAACCACGCCGCAGAAGCCACAAAGCACACAAGAACTGATAAAATGAGGAGGGAGGGAAGCCCATCCCTCCTTGTTTCAAGCACACGCCAGGAAATTCCTCCTGAACACCACCAGCTATAAAGCTGATTCTCATCCTGTCTGTATGCAGCTATGGCACTGGAATGACTCTGAGTAACTCCCTAAAGAGCTGGTAACATGAAGTTGAACTGCGTTTCAGGGTACCCAGGCACGTGGGCAGCTCTCACACTGACATCAGATTGTGTTTCTGTGGTTTAGAACCACATTTATTAGAGTTTGCTTTGAAAACAATTCTCTTCAGTGCGACCGGTGGAGGAGAGCCCCACTAGCACACGGGGGGGGGTCTCAGCATACACACTCGGGAGCATACACACAGCTCCATCAGCTCAAAAACCAAGTCATTCCCCTCCCCAAGCCCACCTCCTACGACAGGAGGCAAACAAGCAGCACCAGATCTGACGCGGAGGCTGAAGCGTGCCAGCATCCCTTCTGCCGGTAGCAATTCTCCTTCATTACTGCCAGCCCTTTCTTTTCTCATCAGCCTCCAGGCCCTTGGGTAAACCACGCTGGTTTCCAGCACCAACACACACACAAGGCTTCTGAGAACATGCACAGTGTCAGCCAAGTCCAGGAAATCTCTGCACCCACCAGCACACTGCCCGACCCCCTCCGACTTCCCTCTTGGAAGGAAGGAAAAGCAATGGTACAGGCAGCATCTCCTCTGCAGCAAAGGACACACACAAAGTGGCACCATTTAGGAACATGAGGAGTCGGCGAAACAAGGCACGTCCTGCAGGAATACAAAGGAAAACCCAACAAAACGTGGTGGCATTTGTTGCTTCTTTCTGTATTTTTCTTAGCAACTGATGCAAGGTGCCCAGAAATTCCTTGGGACTGTGGAGGTGTCTCGGCTGCACTCTTAAGGTGAGCACCTGATGCTGATTCAAAGAAAATCAAATGGAGCATCGATATGCAGGAATCCAGGGGTGCTGGAAACCTGTCCACGAGCAGCGAGAACTAGACAGCTGTTAACATGAAGCTAAAGCAAACAAGGTGGTCAAGACAAGGCAGAAGATACAGCTTATTTAAGTTAATGAGATGTATCAGATGAAAGCAGCATCTTGGCAAACAGCACAGAACCAAGAGGGGATATCAGCAGGCAGTCAAGAAAGCTGAAAGCAAGAAAGTGCTTCAATTTGAGTAGATGCGAAGGAGAAGAGGCTGGAGAAGCAAAGCACATTGGAATGGCACACTGAAGAAAGGAAACTCTGGGATAAACCCTAATAAAGACACCCATGGGCTTCTTACACAAAGAGAACACCTCACTGCAAGACCAGATGGGCTGAGGCTCAGAAAGGGACCAAAATCCTCCTTAGTGGTAAACGGATTTCTTCTCATGGGAATCACATTAAATGAGATGCTGGCAGCCGGGATTGTTCCTGCTTCCAGAACAGCTGTGGGCACAGAGAGGGAAAAGCTGTGCCAGGAGAACAGTGCTGCTGCTGAGAAAGGTGACCGAGGTTTCAGCCTTACTGTGGGGACCAAAAGGTGCCCCTGCAGGTGCTCGGCACCATCCCACCAAGCACAGCAGGGCAAAACCACCCCCTGGGAATGCCACTGCCACACATCAGCAACACCATGTGGAGAGCCCGGGCAAGACAGGAGTGGGAATAAAGCAAACACACACCTTGGTCCAACACTGCTTCTACCAAGGCACATGGGATGGGAGCGGGCAGGGGCTCGCTGCTTCCAGTGCTCCCCAGGGCAGGAGCGCTCCCACCCTGCCTTGCACACGGGTCCAGCTCACCCAGTCCTCCCTGGAAAGACTCCAACCACGCAGATTAACTCAAATGCACTCTTGTGCCAGCCCTCCTCACTGTCCCCCTCCCTGCTTTGTACGTTTTCATCCCACAGGACCGAGACACAAGGCACCGTGGGACTCCCAACAGGACAGAGCCTGCCGTTTCAGTGTTGGTCTGAGTAGCTACGTGCAATCCACAGCCCAACAGGGAGATGTTGCAGGAAGGCTCCTCTGGGGAGAAGGAGGAGGCTCTAGGGACAAGAACTAAGGCAGGCACAGAAACAAACAGCACATTACCAACAACCCAGCGCTCAGCCAGCTTTCTCCCAGCAAGCCGTGCCACGAACTGCCACAGCCGCTTCCGACCCGGCATCAAGCCCTTCTTTTACTATGGAAACAAGCCAGAGAGCACTATTAAGCAATCCTGCTGTACTCGGAGACCCCTTGGGGCACAAAACTGCCTTCAATACCCACTTCACTGTGCTGCATACACCAGCACAACGAGCAGTATGCCCAGCAAAGAGAACACCCAGCCGCTGCCCAGCAAACTTGGAAGGATGGAGGCTCCTGGGCACTTCAGCTGCTTCCCCTCTTTCCACAACCTCTGCTGGCCACACAGCAGGTCCAGCCAAGTTCCTGCCCCTTCCACCTTCCCCCTCCTTTTCCTGCAGCAACCCAAGCCATCCTTTCACAAGCAGTAAAACCTTTTTTCCACAGCAGATGCCTGCCCACATTTTGGCTCCATCAATAACGCAGTTACGTTTAGTCCACATGTGCACGGTATTCCCTTAGTTGTGGCCAACAGAGGTAGCAGCCCCCTGAGCTGGATGGCACAGGTTCTTAGTACCTGGCTGTGCCAGTATCCCTGTGACCTTTCTGGCACATCACCTCAATCACATCCGGTAAAGGCAGACTCGGCAGTTACCATGTGCAAGTGGGTACGGCAGGCACAGAGCTCCTCCTCTCTGGCACTTTTCATGGCAAAGCAAAGCATGTGCCAAGAGGCTGGGACAATTAAACATGGAAAAGTGCCACCACACTCCTGTGTCACGGTCAGAGATGATAGAGAAAGGAAAACAACCTGGGCTCCCCCCAGTCCCAACCCATCCTGGGGCACTGGTTTGACTCAATACCAAGCAGGAAGTTCTCTGGCCAGGAGGTTATTTGGTTCTATCGGGCATTCCCAACTGCTACAACCCTCCAAACCCTTCAGTGTCAGGTCTGTGACACTTCTTTTTCCCCCAAAATCCCCGGTTTGGAAGAAGATACCACCTGAGAAACCCAGCAGCTAAGAGCATTCCACAGCACAGCACAGCACTGCACTCCTGCTTACTGCCAACACTAAAAGACCCCCTCAGAAAACAGTTCCAGGGCTGGTGATTGCCTGCCCTTCCCAGAAAGGGAATGGCTTTCAATGGCACAGATGCCTCCCGACACCCCATGTCATCCACTGCAGCATCACAGGGAAAGGAGCCAAGGCACAGCACCACACCTCAGACAGGCTGCAGCCTCCTCCAGCCTGTTTTGCTGTAAGGCAGTTAAGGCTGCAAACCCTGATGGTCTGAGATCCCGTGCCCACTGCAGTCACAACCCAGCTACCAAACCACCAGGTTAACTCCGCTTCCATGCTCTGGAACGCTCAACACTGCAGACCGCAGCCTAGGTAAGATCTGGTTACAAAGCACATGGAGCAGAGCTGTAAAAACTTGTCCATGACCCACATCCACGCAAGAAGCAGGAAAAAAGGAACTTCAGAAGCAGGTTTGCCAGCAGGCAAACCCTAAGGCCCAGTTAATGCAGAGCAGCTGTTGAGAAAAGTCATGTATTAAAAGCATTTATATGCATTCCTGTATCATGAGTAATTGTTCTGGAGCTAAGTGAAAACTTGCTACCCTCTTCAAACAACACATCATTGATTAGCAAATCTAGAGCACTAGCACTATAGATCAGCAGGATTAAGGGTTTAGAGTTACTATGGATTGTTATGTTATGCTAGATAGCAGCCCAATCACTCCCAATGACACTGAAATAGGGAACAGGGGATGCCTGGAAAGCAAACTTCAACTTTTTCTTATCTCACACAGGATGTTGTGTTTCGTGGCTTTCATAAATGAGCCCACTGCAACCAACATTAAATGACTGCTGGCTGCTACAACAGAACTTCATGCTGCGGGATCTTTAAATCACAGCAATTTACAAGAACAGCCGATCAGCCTTTGAGAACTCACCCACAATAAATTAACCAGTGCAATGAATTTATTGGGATTTGGTCATTTTCTTCAAGCCATGCACTATGCAAAGGTCTGGTTTGGGGTCTGAGTTGCCGGCTTTGGGGAGGGCTTTTTATTTCAAAGTGATTGGAATGATTGGGTTTTCATTGTATTTTGAAGTAGCAGGATGGAAACAGCACCCCAAGTTCGACAGTTGGTCAGCACACGGGATTCACTGATGAGCAGGGACTGTTACAAGAGCGTCCTCGGGAGGTCTGGATATTTCTACATTCTGTGTAATAATAAAAACACAGAAGAGAACATTTATCATGCAGCAGAAAGAGAACAAAACCCACTCAGATTTCTCCACAAGCACACGGCTGCATTCATGTAAAACAGAGACTGTTTTCGAGCCCCCGCACCCCAAGAATGCAGCAGAGCAGCAGCTGGTCCGTGTCCCAGAACCAGACAGCAGGAAGGCTTATTTGCAGTACTCATGGATCCCATGCTGCTAACATTATCAAAAGCTCAAGTAATTCCCACTTAGGGGGAAGCCTTGGACAGGCCAAAGCAGGAATCCACTCAAGCACACGCTGCAGCACATACGTGTCTGTCCATTAAGCATCTCTCAGCCCTTAGCTGAACTATGCCATGGACTTCTTTCCCAGGAGAAGGCTTCCACATTTGTCTGGGTTACAGTCAACGCAGCACCCCTGACAACGCAGAAAATCCTCCTCCCAGACACCTGAACCAGTCAGGACTGACCACACCGACCGGACCTCACCTCATTGCACAAGGCTGGGGGAACAAATGACATGGAATGCAGCAGATTATTCAAACCCAAGCCAACCCAAAGCACCAGCCCAGCCAAACCCTCGCGCTGCAAAGGAGCAGGCGTGCGGGACCAGGCTCAGGAATCACGCCTGCCATGTACCACCTCGGGCAAGTCCCAGGGCCCGTGCACTCAGCACTCCCCCTGTACCAACAACACAGACTACGGGAAAGTGTTCTGGAGTTCTTTACAAGATCTGGAGCTAAGATTTGGCCAAGTTTAGGCCAAATCACTGCCAATTCTTCAAACTTTAGAATCATAGAATAGTTAGGGTTGGAAAGGACCTTAAGATCATCCAGTTCCAACCCCCCTGCCATGGGCAGGGACACCTCACACTAAACCATCTCACCCAAGGCTCTGTCCAACCTGGCCTTGAACACTGCCAGCGATGGAGCATTCACAACCTCCCTGGGCAACCCATTCCAGTGCCTCACCACCCTTACAGGAAAGAATTTCCTCCTTATATCCAATCTAAACTTCCCCTGTTTCAGTTTGAACCCATTACCCCTTGTCCTATCACTACAGTCTCTAATGAAGAGTCCCTCCCCAGCATCCCTATAGGCCCCCTTCAGATACTGGAAGGCTGCTATGAGGTCTCCACGCAGCCTTCTCTTCTCCAGGCTGAACAGCCCCAACTTCCTCAGCCTGTCTTCATACAGGAGGTGCTCCAGTCCCTGATCATCCTCGTGGCCCTTCTCTGGACTTGTTCCAACAGTTCCATGTCCTTTTTATGTTGAGGACACCAGAACTGCACACAATGCTCCAGGTGAGGTCTCACAAGAAAGCCGATGGGCTCTGTGACTCTTACTTACCTCACACTGTGGAAGCAAACTCACCTTTCACTAGCATCTTCCTCTCCCCTTCTCCCCCACATAATCAAAAAGGAGATCTCAGCTTCTACTACAAGCAACCTCCTCTCCATCTCCCCACCCTGTCACTGACTGAGGTGCAAAGTAGACATTTCATCCAGTGCTTGCTTTCCCCCCAAAGGACTGAAGCAATAGCTGAAGTAATTGCCCTCAATTATTACAGACTACAGACTCCTTCATTTGGAAAGGTCAGGAGCTTGAGCCACTACAACGCTGACAGACACAAGGCTTCAAACCACTTCAGACAAATCCTCTTCAAACAATGAACTTTACACATGCTATAAACAAATACTCCAGGGCTTCTCTGCATTGCATTTCTGCAATGTGAAAACAGATGCTTTCAGCTGAAGCCAAAAAGGAGTGTGCTGCTCCGAAACACAGACTGCAAATCACTTGTGGGGGCACAGAACAGCACACTGGGCAATTCTGGTTCAAATAGTTCCACTGTTCAATGGTGGTGTTATCTGTGGCGCTGGATTCCATTAAACGCTTTGGGTTCAATAGACTGTTTGAAAGCTTAATTTTACAGAAGCAATTGATGGTTTTGTAGGTGATGTTAATGAAAGCTCTTGAAATCTTCCTCATGCTCCAAGCAGCATTTAAACGCAGACAGGATCAACTTAGTCCTTCATTCTGCCCCACGGAATACACGTACTTCACTGCTCTGCATTTCTTCTGGGGCAGAGGGAGAAGAGTGTGTGAAGGTTTGGGGGTTTTTACATCAAAAATGCTTCTGCTCCTTTCTTTGTAAAAACTCATTAACTCAGGTTATTTCTCTTCAAATGAAACAGTTCTGTCTTTACATCCACTGCAATGCAACTATCTGCACAATCCTCTACACGCACCTCAATCGCAGCCACTCAACGGCTACGTCAGTATGGCCCTGCCACTTGCTAGACGTTTAAGAGCACTTGGTGATTCAGGCACGCCTTTCCCCGTCGAAATAAGCATCTTCAGTTATACAAGTGGTATTTCCAACAGCAATTCCCAGAATGCTTTAGCAAGGTCCAAACTCAGCACCCATGTTTTATCAGCCAAACTGAAGCCGCACAACTGATCTGCATTAACACTTGCTCCAAGACACCCTCGTTATTTTCACCGTGCTTCTCCAACAGCTTTCAGGCAGTGTGGAAACAGAATGGATTGCCTGTACCTAACAAACCAAACTCATACAGAAGTGGTAAAGCAGAATGACAAAGGTGAAAGGGGACGAGACTGGAAATACACGCTATGACTACCTAATAGAAAATGGCTTGGCTACGAACCACCAAAAGTCAGCATCTTCAGAACTCAAAACCCAAGTCACTAAAACAAACCTTCTCTGCAGAGCATGAATTCCTCACCTAAGACATAAGGTGCCTTACTGAATACACACAACACACTGATCACTATATTCCTTTTCACCATAAACCATTGTTCTGAAAACCACCACAAATAGCCCTTTTTAATCAAGCTGATGTAATTCACCTGCAGGCACAGCTTGTAGCCTCAGCAGGGAAACAGTGCCATACCCAGCAGCATTAGCATGAGCATCTACAAGGGAACCAGACATTCTTAATCATGACAATTCACATAACTTCCGTAACACAGCGCTGGAAGAGCTTTGTGCCAGCAACAGAATGAACTTAAGCTCATGTCAAAGCTTAGGAGTACACAGAACCTAGGCCTGACACAGGGAAAGGACGAAGCTGCCACGGTATGATATCTTATCTCCACTTCTATTTTACAAATGCATTCAATTTCCTTTTCCCCAGTTTTCTGCTGTATCCCAAGATCTAGTCTTCCCCTCCAGATGGTACCATCAATTCCTCTTTCTTCATACATCAACGACCACAGTGATGAAAAAGCTAATTTCATTATTTACTCTCTCCAATAGAAGCATCACATTCATAACAGTGACTTTCTGACTACACCCTCCTGCTGCTGAATGACAAAAGCCAGGAAGAACTTTACACAGCTTTTAGACTGACACCGTATCTTCAACCTCTCATTCATTTTTGAAGATAAACTACTCCCGCTAGAGCTCGTATGCAAGATAAATGTGCTCAATAAAAAGGATTCTTTTCCTCTTCAACAGCAAACCAGTAGTGAAGAGTAATACATAAAACCAAATATGCTCAGCTGAGTTATCACATCATTTCCCAGCACAAGGACAACGGGAATGAGCTCAGGCAGTACATCACATCAAGGCCTCCGATTCTGAAATAGTCTTACCTCGGGTTTATCTCTGTGCGTGTTTACAGCTTCAACATTCAGAAATATAGATTCTACTTTACATCCTGTTGGTAGAAAAGACAGGTTTAGAGTTGCTCAGCTTTAAAAATGAAATTACAGTAAGACACAATCTAGTTTTGAGTTGGGGAAGGTTAATCACTTCCCACTGCTGACTGACAGCACAATTCCCAAATGCCAAAGAGCTAAAGCTATTGAAAACTAATCTGTTCCACCAGGATGAACATCTCTGCAATCTGATAATCCCCCTCCTACTCTCACCTTAGCTTTATCAGTGTTTTCTCTGAAACAGGTTCTCTTTTATAAACGCATCTGAACAACAGCAGTCAGAAAGTTACTTTTAACTTCGGTTTTAAACATCCCAGGCTTCTTAGAATTTCACTGTAACACATGAGATAACTGCAGCTCTCAGTGTTTAAAACATGAAACCTGATGACGAGGATTACTGCCTATTGTTAGCTACCCCCATTCCTCTATGCAGGCAAAACAGTTTTAAGCTCCAAAGAAATGGACCTTGAAAGCTGACCTCTGAAAAGGAACTTCTCCTTTCCACCCAAAAATGGAAATCTCCAAAGAAGCAGGAGAAATTAATCCCTCAGAAGAGACAACTGCTACTCAGGTGGTATAAACTGACTCACATAGGGAATTAGTTACTCAATACACCATTTTAAACAGCACCTAATTGCCAAACACTGTCTTACCTGGCACAAATGTGACTTTTATAAGCTAGCAGTACCCTACATACTAATAGTCGAATTCCTCTGGCATCTTCTATCACAAATAGGTTTTCAGAGGTTTCTGTTATTTCCTAAAGGCAGTCACACACTTCACAGAATTACTACGTGACAAAATAGGGTGATTTTACCCTTTTCTTAGAAAGCCACTGCACTCAAAACCAAAATAATATCCATTAGCAAAGCAAACACTTGCCTTCCCTTAGGGAAGCCTATTCTGAAAAACCCCATTAGTCAGGAACACTGTGAGCAAACTCTGCAGGAAGGCCAGGACTCAGAGAAATAAGCAACCACAAAACAGGTTTTCAGGAGGAAAAGTGCACATCTCCCACTGGAAGAGTCCTCCACTCATCCTGCTGCTCACAGATCACTGCAACCCTTGAGAGCAAGGAAAACCTAGCTGATGCTGGCCATTGCTGAGGACTGGCTGGTTACACACCAGACACACCTCCATAGAGGCCACTCAGTCCTTACCACTAGCTGAGTGCACAACCTGAAAAAGTATTGTATGGAAAGCTTTAGATACAAACTGAAGGGACCCAAGTCACTGCACAGTAACTACAATGTGCATATTCCCAGCTCTTTTGGAATTACCCATGTACAAGCTCATGCCTACAGCAAGACAGAGTTTCCCTTTCCTGTGTGCTCCCACACAGACCACCGCTATACTGGGTTGCTGGATAAAAGTCTACTTTATCCTAATCCAACTGTCAGGCTGTAACAGATGTTCCTTTACTAAAGATCAGACACCAGGAAGAGCAAACCCCTAAGGGAAGGGAGTGTTACCCCAGAACAGGATTAGCTGGAAGGTAACTAAACACACCACGTTTGATCCTGCATCCTGCCTCACTGGAGCCAAGTCACACATCAACATGAAATAACGTTCTAGATTATTAATGTATAAATGGTTTCCACAGCCATTGCCTTTTCAGATGGTCAAATCCCAAGAAGTGGGTGGTCTGAAATGTGCTAATCCAGACGTACGTATGAACACTTTAAAAATGAACAGCTTCTTCCACTGAGGGCAGAAGGACATGGGCAGTATTCCATACCACTTCTCCCCCCCATTCAGTGTGTGTGTAAACTGCAAACATCCAGGATCTCTTCACACAGCCCAAGACGAGCGAGTCAAGAAGATCCCCTTTCCAAAACCAAAACAGTCAGCTGCTCTGAATCCTCCTTTCAGACCTTCAGCTTGTCATGCAAGGCTGGAAACACCAGATGTCACCAGAGCACAGCAGGACAACACAACAGTTAAATCACAACCATCTCTTCAGCTAGATTTCCCAGTGGTAAGGGCTCCTTTCTTTACCTCAACTGTATTTGAACCTTAAAGAAGTACAGCTCTAGACTGCTTTCAAAGGAGATAATCAAAGACAGCTTTGCATCTCCGACCAACACCTCGATTAGCATCTTTGGTAACCCATTCCCTGCGCAGATTTGCCTATAAATAATCTTCTGAAGCGTGATGAGGTATCAGAAGATGTAATTAAACCCAACACTTCAAGACATTAACAGCAGGCACATGTCAAGCTGAGGCTGAAAACACAAAAGGCAATTAGCAATCAGCCTAAAACCCAAGTAGCACAGGGTTTTGTAACCCCCCAGGCTGGCAGCAAACCTCAGTTAAAGCCCCTGAGCTATGCACTGATAAACAGGGACTGAGGAATGCCAACCACAGCACTAAGTTCACGTGGTAGTGTGAAGGTCCACCAAAAACACACTTGAAAAGAGAACAAAAGTCGTTTAAGGGTAAGGGGAACACCTTTGTGAGGTGATAACCATACATAAATGTAAATCTGCCTGCTCTAAAAAGCAACACCCTCAAACACATCAACACAAACTGAGACCTTCCTGGACCTGACTGCGTAAATAGCAGGAGTTTGCCAGAAGAATTAATGAAATAACACAAAGCGAATGTAAACCCAAGGATTCACTGATTCTAACAAAGCTGTACAGGCATAAATGCAGTATCAAACTTAACTGTTCAATTCTACATTAAAGCAGAATAAATATAAAAGCTCTTCATTTAAATGCCTCACAAACTTTAGAGAATAAAGTTAGATTTAAGATATACTTAATGCTACTCACCATAAGCCACCGGGGTTAGCTTTAAGACAGTATGCAGTGGGCACTTCAGGTAAGGCAGTTGTTCTGGGAAAACAAGGAACAAATTACATATGAAACAGAGATTACAAGAACAGTAACTTTCCTATTATGGTGCAGATCAACCACTTGAATGCCTTCTTATCTGTCAGTAACCTGCTTTCTTCCCTAGCATGCAACAGAAAGCTATTCAAATGGAGCAAAAACTGAACACCACAGTGCTGTTGCAGGTGAGAAGCTCAATAAAGATCAACTAGCCAAGTTTTCCATGGGGGTCAGATAGAAAAAGTGACAGTTGCACACTTGCCTAGCACAAACGCCCTCTGATGAGAAAGAACATCGTTAGAATTTACTGTCTGGAGCCTTCATCAGTACCATTTTTTCAAAGAACAGACCATTTGTCATGTATTAAAGATTTACCTGCAGGCTTGTCAAGAAAATATGCAAGCAAACAGCGCATGACAGCTTGGTGACATATGACAAGCACATTTTCCTGCCTTTCAAGTTCCATAATTACTGGCTCCAGTCTCTGAACAAGATCTTCATAGGACTGGGTGGGGAAGAGAAACACACAGCCCATTACAAAGGGAAAACTCTTTGAACAGGGTATGTATATACAGCGGATCTTACTTTCACATTAGTAATCTTCTGTTCTATTAGCGCACAGACAAATATTGTTGTAATAGTTTTCCTTACATTAAGGACACAGTCCAGGTTTTCCAGACTATCAAAGAGCAAGCACACAACAAAATAAATCTCTCTCACGGAAAAGCTTTATTAAATCAGTCACCATGATTAAGAAATTCCACAAAACTCCTAGGATTCAACTCACAGCACCTGCACGTGTACAGGTTACGTCTTGCACGTTATTTTCCACACCTCACCTTCAAAAGCATCATCTCTCTAAGTAAAAAGCTGGGAACCCAGCCTACGGTCAGCATACAGGAAATCTACAAAGCTTGACTTCTTCGGGCTGCCCTTTGGAAACAAGCTATGGGCCTGGTGACCTAGCCTGGGGGTGGCAGCCACCCTCCCACCCAGAGCCAAAGGGCTCCTCTTGCTCACACACAGTAAATCTGCTGCTGCAGATCAACAGCATGTTCCTGCCCAAGGTAACGTTCACATGCCTGTAAAGACAACACTGCCCAAATGTGTGGTGCATGGAACACATGGGGAGCACAGCACATCTCCCAGCAGGACAGGGAACGACCACATCGCCCTGGTCCTAGGGCAGGCGTGGGGCTGCCCAGCTGGGAAGCGGCACTGCTGAGCCAGACCTTGGCAAGAGAAACCCAGCACTCTGCTCCAGCCAGGCTGTGTAAGCCCTGCCATGGGTACTGGTGACAGAGGGACCGCCTTAGCCAAACGGCTGACATGAACCAACCACCCCAAGGCGATGAGGGAGCTCCACATGTTTGTCACCATCCTAGAGGATGGCATCAGTCTGAAAAACAAACACTCCCTCTTCAAATGGATGAGGAGAACTTTGCAGCTTAATGACGGCCTCATTAGTGAGAGCAGGGTCACAGCCCCAGACACACCACCCTTATCACAAGATGCTCTTAGCACAGTGATTACTCTTGACCACTGAGGAAAGACCACGGAGCTCCGATTCCTCAGGACACAACAGCGGAGCAGTTGGTCCAATTACTCCTCTGCCCTGAACCCTAAACTTCAGCTGCCACCGAAAGGCGTGTGGCCATCTGGTAACTGCTGCAGGTAACGCGTTCATTGCTTTAGAAATGCTGTCAGCAGTTGTTTTCCCAGAGGCAAGGAGTTTCTTAAAGTGAAAGACCACCGTGGCTGCAGATTTCCCTGCACTTCAGCCAGCGCTGCAGGCAAACCAGCCATTACCCACAGGAGGATGAATAGGAAAAGGTGATCTTGGCGGTACATTTACATATGCAGTGGTCTGAAGGCTTGCAATCATTCCTCCTGCTTTATCGCTGCGGGACTAGCATAGAAACAATGCCCACAAGATCAAAGCTCTCCATTGTTTTATCTAAATCTATTGTTTCATTTGGCAATCCTGAACCAAATTAAACGGTCTGGGCTCAATTCTTGCAATCTCCTACGTGCTTTCCCCTGGAGAGAGGAACAACCTGGTCATTCATTTAAAGATGTATTTTTCCTTTCTAAAGCCAGCATGCATATATTGAGGAAGACAAAGGAAGCCCTTCACCTTAAGAGAGAAAAGGGAGCATACCTCTCCTTTGGGGTATCTGTATCTGTATTTGTCTTGGTCTCTCAGTGCAAATTCAAGCGGATAATTTTCCTGTATTTCTTCATAAGTCATTTCTTCACACACTCCCTATACGTAATAAAAATCATTTAAGACCATGTATTTCCAGCAGTGCAAAAAGCAGATCTCACTCTTCAATAAAACCATATATAAATAACCATTACCAATTGTATTTTGTTACTCTGACATTTAAAGGCAAAATCATCACACATGATGAACAGGACTGGACTCACACGTGGATAAAAGGAATCATTAAGTCCGTATATAAATTGAAGTCACATACATGGGCAAGTGAATCACTGAGCAAGGTCACGTTTTATCTATTGCACCTACTTATGTATCTTACAGGTGCAGCTGGAAAGTGCAAACTAGCAAGCTCCTCCTTACAAACCCCCAACTACCCAAACCGCTGCCTTCTACATGGGAATGTTTCACTGGGGAACATAAACCACTTGGTTTATGGCTGAAATAATTATGGCAAAATTTAATAGGATGCTCAGCCTTACTAACAGGAAGTAACAACGATTTTTCCAACCTCTAGAAACAGCTTAAATGACTTCCAGTCCCATGAAAGCCCTATCATTGCAAAACTCAGTAGCTCCTTCATCTTTAGGAAACCAAGCAACTTACGACATGCTTCGAAAGCCAGAACTTACTGCATCTATCTCATTCAACACCTTCCACTGCTCATAAGGCACTCCCAAGGCTTCAGCAGTCTGAATTGTCCTTTTCATCTGGCTGGTCCAAACTTTCAAATCTTTGATATTTTGCTCATTAATAAATTGTGCCAAACTTTTGGCAAACTGAAAGAAAAAACATGAGGCAGGGGGTGAGGCTCGGAGCCAAGACACTCTGTTCAGTTTGGAACACACAGGCTCCGGGCTCTGTAAACTCATTATAACCCTTCCAGAAGGCTAAGAAATGCAACACATTCTGTTACGACAAGAGGTACAGGAGAGGGAAGGAAAAGAGAACAAGGGAGATACAAGTTTTCTGCAGTTCCTATCTTTACCATCAGGGATTTTCCTTTCAGCTTTAACTTGTGAACCTTCCCAATTATCCAACATTTACAAGAATGCAGTTAAAAAAATAAAGCCTTGACAACTGCTTTGGGCTGTAGGATAAAAACCAATTCCAACCAACAGAATGACAGATAAAAGAGCACGTACCAAATCACAACCCCCAAAGTGTTTCCATTCATTTTCTACTACTCACAAATGCAACTAAAACCCTTCTTAAGCATGTTAAGAGGAAAGGGCTGTAGAGGAAGAAAGCTGTAATTACACAGCACAAACTGCACACACAAAAACCCAGTCACACTTGTGCAGGTACATACCTCTTTTCCCCTAACAGACAGTCCAGGATCTCCTCCTATTCTCCCTTTCAGATTGAGTTCACTTTCTCCGTGTCGACAGAGGTAGATTGACCGAGGAGTCACATGGATATTCATGAGGTAGTAGACAATCCGGCTCTGAATGTGATCCATTACTCGGTTCACAAGGTAACTCCTTCCAACATCCATAATTTTAATGTAAGAAAGATCCCTTGGAGGAGCAAACAAAAAGAAATATGTAAGATTCCAGTTTCCATCAGCATGCACCACAATCTCTGCCATTATAAAACAAAGAGGCAACAAGCCAAAGCAATAAACAAGCCCTCAATTACCTATGGAATATGCATTAGTCCTAACAAACAACGCAGTACCCCAGAGGTACAGGATGAATTCTGTTCCTTTCACAGGCGAGCTGCTCACATCGCTTTCTTTTCTGCTCCCTTTACTTGTGTGTTGTCTCTCAAATCTAGGTTCTGCTCTTGTTAAAATACAGCCCTCCCACTGAAGGAAGGATTCAGTGGAGTTATTCAACTGTGGTAGCTTCAATGAGATCCAGGTATTTCATGATACCAGCTATTTTTCTCCAGGTTACAAACACTTCCCCCACAGCAAGTATTTGACGGCATCCGGGAGCCAAAAGGCATGGTCATCACTTACCCACCTCTGTTAATCCTTCTAGAAAAACTACAGCATCAGAAGGAGCTGGGACCAGCCTGATACAAGACATTTTCTCAAACACTTTATCAACATCTATTTATTAACAGCACTGTAGTGTACCCCACCGCTACCTCCTCTCAGCACGAGACAGGTTATAACTGCAATTTTCACTGCTCATCTGAGCTGTACATTTCAGAGCAGTATCTAGTTTAAAGGAGGAAAATGGTCTAATGAGCTGAAAATAACCATTATGGGTTTCTAGTGAAGCATTTGAGACATAGACCATAATAAACCAAGGAAACTTATAATAAAACCAAATGGAGGTGATGAGAAGCAAGCATCATCACCTATCTCCAGTAGTGCTCTTTGAGGTTAATCATTACTATTTCACCCAGGCACAACCATTAGGCCCATCACAGAAATTACATGCATGAACTGATCCGATTGAACCAGCTTCACACTGCTTACGCTCAATTACATTAAAATGCAGCTCAGCCTTCTCTACAGCACTGGTCCTGAAACAGAGCAGGAGCACTTGGTATGAATGCAGCTCAACATCCCACACCGAAATCCTGGACCCCAGCAAGAGAAACAGGGCTCCTCCTCATGTGGTTCATCCCTACCTTACTTTCAAGCATTGAAAGCGAATGAAAAACAGATGAATGCTTTGGCACAAAGGCAAATAATCCAAGCTAAGAAACTTTCTCACAGCCCTACATCTGCAGGATATTTTACAAGCACAAATAAATAAATTTAGGCATCCCATTTGTAAGATAGATGTGTTCAAAATTCATCTTAGCCATGCCAACAAACGAAGTTATGCTTACAAATCACTCAGGTCTCCCCTACAAACTAAACAACCAAGTAAGGATCCGATCTAAAAGAAGCCTGGGGTAATTTCTAAATGCTGGTTCTGTTCCAGAAGGATCATATCATTCTCCAAGTGGGAAATCAAAAAGAATATTGTCCCAGAGTAGATGTGTTAGCCGATTTTCCTCACGCAAGCAAGTTCCAGGCTACATCCCCAGAGTAAACTCTCCCCAGTTTGCCAATGGAAAGAGAGCTTAAGCCATTAATTACTATAAAGCCCTAATCCCCAATACAGGATGCTCCATCCCCTAAGGAAACATCTTAAGATGACCCAGTTGTGATCACAGCATTATTTCATCACTTACTTGTCAAGAGTTTCATCTAACGTCTCATAGGAGTTCTTGTAGCACTCTATTCTCTTCATGAAGTCTTCTGTTGCTTCATCGTTACTACAATCAACATAGTCAGGACTACCCAGCTTCACTTGCTGTTTGAAATAAAACCAGGAGGGTAGCACATTTCTTTCCCTTTTTAATGCAATGTTTAAATAAATAGGAAAGGGGAGAACACAGCACAAAAACCTTGTATCCTGGAAGATAATTAAAATACATGCATAGCAAAAAGAGCTGTTCTTCATAAACTTGAGTTATTATACACAAGAACAGGAAAATAAATGTGAATTGTTCCATTAATGGGAGCTAACTGGGTTTTTGCTATTGGAAGTTCCCTTAATGTACTTCTGAACACACAGAACTACCTTTAACCTCCTAACTTAGAGCAGTTAAAGCAACTTTCCTACTTACCACAATGTTTGCAGCGATGACCTCTGGATCCACACATACTGACTCAACAAAAAAAGTCTTCAGTCCAAAGGGGAAGTCACGTGTAGAGAGGAAGGAACAAGGAAGATGCATTAGAATGCCTCTGGAGACTAACACACACGAGCAGCACGTTACTCACTTCCATGCTAACCCCTTTTTAGCAGAACCATGTGTTAAACTTCCCTTCATTTACTCTGAAGGTTTCTGCAGACACTCATCAGAAATTGCTGGTTTAGCATTGCCTGAAGCATCATGTTCTGTATTATTCCCCCCCCCTCCACAATGCTTGTAAGTGGAAAAATTTTGCAGTGAGAAACATTTAGGATGGAAGAGAAGAAAATAAATGCAGAGGATACAAGCTCAGTCATATAAAGAGTAACTGATGTTTCTGCAATAAGATTTTGGAAGCCTGTCAACTAATGGAGTAACGCAACTTAAAAAGACTTCTGTGGTTTGCTGTCTCAAAGGTTTATGGAGATACAGGTTTAGAGGAAGTGAAGGATTACTGGGGAAGAGCTAAATACAAAACAACCCTGGACAGAAGGCACTAAACCACGGGAAGTTTTTTGTTTGCACAGAACTAACACAGAATTCCTTATGTTTTCTGTAGCAAAACCATGGACCGCACTAAGAATCATATTTTAAATAGCTCTTGCTGACAGTACATTCAGAGCTACAGGTCCAGGATGAAAGAATTGAAGCCACAGCATGTAAGAGCTTAGTTACTAACAGGACAAACATTAAAGACAAGAAAAATGAGGACTGGGTGAGTTTTAATCACAAACAATGCTTGAGAACACAAAATGTACCACTGACTATACACCTAGGAAGGACATGGCTTATGCTAATGCACTTCTTAACCCGGAGTACTTGGGGATAAGGGCAAAACTACCCCTGTTACTTGTCCAGGTGTTAGCTCGTTGCTCCTTGGGTTTCAACTCACCTTATAGCCGTTTTCTTCACCAAATTTGTAAATAGTTTCTCTGCGTTCTCGGGTGGTGTTTGTGGCATCAAAGACCTGGAAATAATTACAGGGAGAGCGAGAAAGAAGAATTAAAGGAATAGCCTAGCCTGTGAAAAGCACTGTGCTAGTAACAACAAAACCAAGGGTTCAAAGTCCCTCAATGCGAAGAGAAGCCCCAAAACACTTCCCCTTTCCCCTCTCTCAACATGCTCAAGAGGCAAAGAGATGACACTCCTACTTTCCACACTCGATTCTCTAAACACTAAAAAGCAGGAATATTTTGAAAGCACTACCAGCTGAAGACTGTATTTGGAAGAAGCAACCACAATTTAAGCCTAACCCACAAGAGGACAAAAGCTCCCTCCTGACCCATACCTGCATTAAATACTAATCCCTGGGTTTTTAGCAAACTTACACTACAGAGGCAAAGCTGCTGCAATCAACATGCTATTCAAACTGCAAGTGTAAAGCTTTTAAGTGGCAAAAGATGACATGGTTTAGTGTGAGGTGTCCCTGCCCATGGCATGGGGGTTGGAACTGGATGATCTTAAGGTCCTTTCCAACCCTAACTGATCTATGATTCTAAGATCTGCAAGACTTGTAAAGCCTGCCCATGGACTATAAGATAAATGCAGCCAATTTTCCAGGAACTAATGTCTGGCCGTGAACACACCAGTGTTTTAGCAAACCATGAGGTTTGCCGAAGCACAGTTTACCTCATGTCCCCAGCACAACTTATAATTGTTACTTCATGGTTTTCCCTGATCAGCTAATGAAAACACCAGAGCTGTACCAGCAGTCTCAAGGAAAAGAGTGTTATGCAAATTAATGGGAATACGCCATATCAATAATTGAACAGCTGCTGGTTTGCATCCCAATATTAAATACAGATATGCAGCAATTTGAGTTTCTCCTGCTCTCCTCAGAGATTTCTCATGTGGGGAACAAAACTGCCAAGCAATACCCAGGATGCTTTTTGTTCAGTAAGTACCTTTCACTTGAAAAGCTAGACTTCCAAATAGAAACAGAAGTGCAACTAAAACAAGAGATATGTTTAACAGCACGTAAAATCATAGAATAGTTAAGAGCTGGAAAGGACCTTAAGATCAACCAGTTCCAAACCCCCTGCCATGGGCAGGGACACCTCACACTAAACCATCTCACCCAAGGCTCTGTCCAACCTGGCCTTGAACACCGTCAGGGATGGAGCATTCACAACCTCCCTGGGCAACCCATTCCAGTGCCTCAGCACCCTAACAGGAAAGAATTTCCTCCTTATATCCAACCTAAACTTCCCCTGTTTAAGTTTGAACCTGTTACCCTTGTCCTGTCACTACAGTCCCTAATGAAGAGTCCCTCTCCAGCATCCCTATAGGCCCCCTTCACATACTGGAAGGCTGCTCTGAGGTCTCCACGCAGCCTTCTCTTCTTCAGGCTGAACAGCCCCAACTTCCTCACCCTGTCTTCATACAGGAGGTGCTCCAGCCCCTGATCATCCTCGTGGCCTCCTCTGGACTTGTTCCAACAGTTCCATGTCCTTTTTATGTTGAGGACACCAGAACTGTCCACAATGCTCCAGGTGAGGTCTCACAAGAGCAGAGTAGAGGGGCAGGATCACTTCCTTTGACCTGCTGCTCACACTCCTTTTCAGCATGATACAATGTGCAGAGAAGGAGGACATTTTCCTGTGTGTTACCCTCTCCTCATTGAGCCCCTCAAATCACAAAGGTTGTTACTCAGTACAGCATCACCTCCCTGAACTTCAGTGCTCCTCTGTCTGCAGCAACAAGGCAGATATAACATCCAACTCCCACAGGAAAAAAATCAAACCATATACTGAAGATACTGAAATGGCTCAGGCTGTGCATTATCCAGCAGACACACTGTTTTGTAGGGAAGCAGCTGAAGAACGCAACTCCAACAAGAAACTTACAGCCACGTGCCCGTTTTCTTCACTGAGGTACTGCCGGACGTCATTCAGCGCTGCTAAGGCACACTGTCTGAAAAATGAAAGAGCAAAACTCAAATGCTTGTACAGTTATTTTATTCATGCACTTGTGCATTGTGATCAGAGTGCCCTGCAACTGTTAGGATAATCTCTCCCAAAAATAAATGTTTTTGTCATCAGGTACCCCCAAAACAGGGGAAAAAAAACAATGGAGGGCAACCAAGCTATACTAAGGAAACATGGTCAAGGCCATCTGCCAGAAAGAAGAGTCCAGTGCTCCTCAGAGCAACTGATGCAACTACACATCATCACAGAATACCTATCAACTTTGCTGACCAGAATAAGCTTTCACTCATCTAACATAACACCAGTGAATCATCCCTGGAACTGTATTTTTTCCCCAATTACCTACTCATAGATACTTGCTTCTTAATGTGATTCTCAAAGAGGGAAGAAATAAATCCACTTAAGGTTTTTATCTTGTAGCCCCAAGGTAGAGTGGATAGACAACTGTTTTTCAGTAATACACTGCCTCTCTGTTCACCTACAGTGTAAAAATTGCTTATGGAAAAAAAAACCTCTCTTTAACCAATAAAACAAAGTTAATGACCAGTATTAGGGACAGAGGTGAAAATAAAATCCCTTTGTAGTCACCAACCCAATGTAATTAGAACTGGAGACCACTGGGGCCACAAACACCCCAAACCCTCCTCTCCCTACATCCTTTACAGTTGGGTTAAATTTGGACAAGAACAAATTAATTTGCAACTCTCCTATTTCCTCAGGCCTAGCATTATCTTCAAAGCCCATTATGATTTCTAGCACATAAATAATACTGGAGGGCAACATTAATGTTGTACAGGATTTACTCATTAGAAGAACAAAGCTCCATTTAGTTCCATGAAGTACAATCTTTCTGCAATACCAACATAAAAACCTGTCCCTTTCAACAGCCTTTCTCTGCATTACTGCTCTATTTTGACTTCCCAGACTGAAACATCTAATTCTTCTCTTACATTTAGTGTTATCTTGCATGCACAGCTTTCTCTTGAAAGAAAAATTAAAGCTTTCCAATCCTGACAGTATTTCCACATTAGCAGGGTTAACGGTTGTCAGGAACTGAGATTCATCAGTGAAGTCTTCACTAAATAAATATAAACCCTCTTTACCCACTGCTAAGTAGGCAGTTTAGCTCTCACAGCCCATTTCATGTTCTATTCCCCACCATTTAGTTTAATAGGCGACGCAGAGGCACATTAAAAGGTTTGGCTCTACCTCTAAGCAAAAGGTAAGGGCTTGCAAGGCTAATGCACCTCATATCTACTTTCTGGTCCCAAAGGATCAGTTGGTTCTTATGCAAGTTCCCTCTCACATCAGCAATGCTCAACTGCTGCAGAAGAGGAAAGGGAAGAGAGAGAGAACAAGCAGAGGAACAGCCACAAAAGGAAGTCCAGACATCAGGAAAAGTCCAGACATTTTTAATGCTTGAGCTGAAGCAACTAAGAACGAAATACTCCACATTTTAAGTAGCCTAAACAAACTGCATGTCCATTCCTCTAGTATTTCTGCTACTCCTCACTTTATACTGCACATTCTCCTATGTTTTCCTGAACAATAAATGGCAAAGAAAATCAAAAGACCTTCCCATTCTGTGAGGAAAATGTAGCTCCCTCTTGCTCTGACCTTCTCTTCATCTACCCTTTCTCTTACATTAAAGCAGAGCCTTTTTCCAAGCAAGAAAGGAGTCTCAAGTGCTTCATCTGTGCACAGACATCACACTGATGCTCCCCTTGCTTTGAACAGCACTAGGAAAACAGTTTTCAAGGCAGTGCACCAACTGAATGCATCAAGCACCTGCACGGTGGGCAACGACAATTTCAGGGAGGGAATAATATTGTTTCATTCTGGCTTATTTGAATGGATAATGACAAATACATTCAAAGTACTCCAGGTGAAAAATTCCAGTATGCAAACCAAAAAGAAAGAAAAGCTGGAATATCTGCAGGAATAGCAGCAAACACAACCTCCTGAAAGGTGAAAAAGAATCCAGGATCTACCTTCTGTGCATTTTTGATGCTTTAGATGAAGCAATTAAGAGAAAAACAGCCCAACTTTTAAGCAGCCTAAACAAATCTCTTGCCTGCTTGCTCTAGAACTTCTTTTCCTTGTCATTTCATACTGCAGTCTCTTAAGCATCTTCTTGAGCATACAAAAACACAACTTAAAGCAGTCTCTATGAGCAAATTATACAGGGTAGCTTTCAGCATTGTGTAGCAAACACAGTCCAAACTTACCTCCTGATTTTCAAGCCTTCTTCATTGTCAGGCAGGAAGAATTCAAAAGATTTATACTTTTTCACCAAGTCTCGGCGATACTGACCAACATTAAATTCTGCCAACGAGAAACCGGGATTTAGTGGGAACTAATGATACTCATGGCAAAAGGACAAAAGTTCTGACAGCTCGGAAACCAAACTCCCTGCAAGGATAAAATAATTTAGCATGTACAAAGCCAACTTCTTGCATTTTGGGTGGCTTTGGTTGTTTTCAAATACAACAAAAACCCATGGGAATGGCAAAAGAACATTTGGGCAGTAGTTTCAAGAGTTATTTGGTCGTATTGCTACGCTGCTATCTGCCGGTTTGCTTGAACATCACCAAAAAAAACCCTTTTCCTCCTTCGCAGGGGTGGTTGGCAGTCTATTTCGATAGCCTACAAAGAATCTAGCTGCTGCTTCTGTGCATATGTGCAGGGAGACAGCACTCTGATGGCACCTCTCAAAACGTCCAGCTCCTGTTTAACCAAGGGAGAGTACTAAATAGAACTAACCAATTTTGGTTTTGATAAACAAACCTTAAAATTCAAGTTGTGGAACCATTTTGTCAGAACCCTGCTCAAATATTTCTATTCCTCAAGGATCAGCACATACTATTGCACAACCCCCGTTCCAGTTATTTTATATGCTTAAGTTGTAAAAATCTCAACAAACCATTCAGCAGTATTACTGAACATAATCATACTGTGATCTCTTGTGGCCAAGAAGACTACTCTTTACCTGGGCAAAAGTCCATAATGTCAATGGCCATACACGTGTCACAATACCGGATATGGGATTAGGGCAAGGCAGTTGTTTTGCCATAGAGGAGACAATGACACTGTATCCTAATGAACTTCATCCAACAACTCTGAAAGTAGGTCTCTGAAGTGCAATTGATGCTTTAAGTTGTTTCTGACCTGGAGGTTTTCTCTGCTGAACTGAAAAGCATTTTTTTAACATCAGCTCAAACTTAAGTGCTCTGTTTGAGAAGCTGCCAAGGTGTAACTACTTGAGAGACTTCATTTCTAGAAAGAAGAAATGGAGTAATACACACAATTGCCAAATTGCATTTAAGAAAGAAAACACATAGAATAGAGTTCAACCACCAGCTGCTGTCTGTAGACTGCTCTCGGGACTGGAAGCAGAGGAAGTATTGCTTAATCCCCCAAAAAGTCAGGTTTTGCTCGAGTTCACCAATGCTGATGTCATTTTTTTGTGGTCAGATGTGTGACATGGATTACAGTACAATCCAAGTTATTCTGTCACAGGATGAATGAGCACTGGTCATACCAGCGGCGTGGAAAGATGGCTCCTTGTCAGAAAAACAGAAGATGAAGGAGCTCAGAAGGCCAGTGTTGCAGGCAGTAGCCCTTTAAAAATCAAAACCAATGAATTTCTCAAGAAGAAATAGTTACTGCAAGAGGGTCATGCAGAGACATGGAAAAAGTGCTATCTAGTGGGACAATCTTCAGCCCTTACTGTTAGCATCCACCCTTGCGGAAGAGTTTCACAAAGCTAACTGGAATCACAATTACCACACAGCCAGAACTGTTCCAGAAAAGCTTCCCTAAGTTTAGTATCTAAAAAACACATTGCAACACAATTCTATTCAGGCATCTAATTGACCTCATTTCCTCCAAAAAGCTCAGACAAAAGTCCTTTGTATTTTTTTACCATTTCACATTCTAAACAGGAGAGGATTTTGGAAGAGAGAAAAGAAAACGCAGGACTGATTGCTGAAACGGTTCAACTAACATCAACCCTGGGCTATTTGCCTCCACCTTATGCTCTTGAACTCTTCAGCTTGCTTAATATATGTCACATGAAAAGACAGCATTTATCTTTCCTCGGGTTTACACAACCTTGTAATTTTAACCATCTCTCTTGGAGACTAAGAACACTCTCGGTATGAAGTGCAGGCTAATATTAAGAGCTAAAGGTAACTGATGTTAGGGCTATTCACCACGTATACATCGGAAGAAGTTCTTTCCTGTGAGGGTGGTGAGGCACTGGAATGGGTTGCCCAAGGAAGCTGTGAATGCTCCATCCCTGGCAGTGTTCAAGGCCAGGCTGGACGAAGCCTTGGGTGAGATGGTTTAGTGTGAGGTGTCCCTGCCCATGGCAGGGGGGTTGGAACTGGATGATCTTAAGGTCCTTTCCAACCCTAACTATTCTGTGATTCTATATCTTTGTAAAATGAGGTAGCAACACCCTAATTATTTTTTATTAAGCACAACTGCATGTACTTTCTGATGTGCTGCTCCCAGTAGCCAAGGAACTCTTCCTGTAACTGAAGCAGACTACCCCTACCTATTTTAGTGTACCTGGGATACACTCAACCAAGCATGAGCTAGATGTGGACAATATCTTGTTTGTTGCCCAATACTGGATTTTTGCTTTGTCACACAATAAAATGTTCAACACAATGACATACATACATCTTTACAGACATGTATGTTATACCTAACATACAAGTATAGTTATATCACATACACTTTATCAGCTTGGATATAGGCTAACCTAGTTAGACTGTTACTCCATTTCAGCCTAATGGATAAGAGCAACAAATATCTTGACACTGCTCGTTAGAAGGGTTATACCGAGTGAAAACAGTCAAGTGACAATTTAAATCCTGTAAACTCTCATACTCAAGCAATATAACATATCCTCTGTAACATCTTATCTAAATAAGGCAACAAGCTTCCAAGAGGTTAAGAAAACACCAACTCAAAAAAGCTACACCCTCAAATCAAACAGCTGTTTAAATACAGGCCAGAACTCTTTACCTTGACTTCTTAGAGCTACTAGGAAATACATGTATGATCTAGGATGTTTTATGTTATTTAAATGATTAACTAGTCATAACTATAAAGCTATCATTACTGCACCAGACACAGACTCACAGAACACTAGAGCTATCTTTTTCTTCTACAGAGATGGAGGAGAAGGCAGGGGAGAAGGCATCTCAGAACCTCCAAACTGACTTAGGTTTTATTTACTTGTCTATCTAGGCCCACAGAGTACCACAGGAGCTCAGGAATGAGGCAGGACAGCCAGGTCCTTGGCACGGCAAAGCTGAGCTGTCGTTTCCCACTCACAACACACATATAAAATCCTTAAGAGAGTCATAACAAGCGCTGCTCCAGTTCCTATGGCTCTTAATATTGAAAGGGCTGTTAACTCATTCCACAAATGCAGTTATACAGGAGTTACACAAGGAATTAGACATTGCACAAAGGTCACAGAGAACAGAAGACTGAGAAGTCACAAGCGCCAACTGCTCATCCACCTGCAAACAAGATTCCCTTTCACCCACATAAACCAAGGGAAGAAATCTAAATAAATAAATAAGGACAACTGAAGTGTTAAGGGGCAAGGGCAGAACACCTGGCAGAAGGTGGCAAAACAACAGCTACCAGGATACATTTAATTAACACCTAAATGGAACTGAGAGCCTTGTGTACGCTATTGCTTAAGACCAAGTTTACAACACAGAAGGATTTTAAGCGGTCAAACTTTGCAATGTAATTAATGGGAACTAAACTAAACACCTAACATCTGCCCCGTCCTTCTGATGTAAACAGAAGTAAACGCATCACCTTTTGTAGGCACTCCAATCCAATTCAAATAGCGTGTCAGCTTCTTGGAGATGTAGGTTTTTCCTCTTGCTGGGAGACCCACCATGACAATCAGAGTAGGGCAATTGGTCATACATACTGAAACAGAAAAAAACAGAAAACTAGGATTTACCATGAATGCTCCCCACGAGGCGAAGGCTTACACTGTGGTGGAGAACTACAACCCATGTGCTGTCTGGAAGTGACCATTCGGGCAGCTCATGCATCGTGTCTCACTGTTTCAGGGGGTTTCTCCAGGGGTTCCGTGGACCCAGCCAGGGGTTTTATGCTGTGTTGAGTTTTGGAAGAGCGAGTCAGTGGCAGTGCAACGCTGGACGCGTGAGTTGTGTGCAGGCAGAACACAAGAAGCCTGTGTACTTACATACGTGTTTTAAGACATACAAAAACAATACCAAAAGGACACTGACATCTTAGTATCATAGAAGGGTTTGGGTTGGAAGGGATCTCAAAGATCATCTAGCTCCAACCCCCGTGCCATGCGCAGGGACACCTTCCCCTGGACCAGGCTGCTCAAACCACTGAGTTCAGTGCTTGCATTGAAAGGAAACAGCAAGGTGTACACGATTTAAAGACAATTTTTAAATCTTTAAAACAAGTCCTCAACATTATTCTTGGGTTTTGAGCAAAACTAGCGTGACAAATGCAGCTTAATACATCATAGCACAACATGGTACTCGTTATTTCTTATTTCTCCTTTCAAGAGAGGTTTTTGTGTTAGTAAGATTTAAAACCAGAACTAACTTTGACTGTTCTTCAATGATTACTAGGAATAAAGTACAGGTATTCTAAGCAATCATGTACAATAATCTGATAAACAGATATATGTACAGAAGTACTTTATCAAAAGCAGTGTTTAGTCAGTAAAACACAATACTGTAGTCATTTAAAGGAGTTACATGGATCAACTGAAAACCTTGAGGCCTTTCCTTTCAAATGACAAGTTTTTGAGCAGTTTAATGGCATAAAACCATGAATACCTTGCATGAATCTATCACAGCTACAAGGAACTGCCTAAAAAGAAAGAAGACATTAAAGTGGTGCAAAGATACCACTGGCTCCCCCCATCCCCTACTTCAAAGGGCATTAATTACTGTATAATCAACACGTGCATCAGTTTCCTCAGTGTCTTGAGAGAGGAGTCAATTTGCTTCCAAAGACTAAATCGCAGTGTTACGCTGTAGGACGTAACTAAACTGTTGCACAAACCACTGTGAGTGCTTAAGGTTTCTGGAGGTTGGACTGACAAAGTCCCATCCCACAAAGTCACTGGCACAGCTACTCTGCAGAGCAAACCCACGGATTAGCAAAGCCAGATGCACTGCCTTAAAACACACACTGAAAACAAAACCAACCCCAAAGCCATGAAAAACACACCATTTTTCATGAGAGAGGGGATGCAAAACCATACCCAACCTCACACCCATGAGACAGTCTACTACTCCATGTAATGGAAGTTGCAGGGAACTGACTGCAAACCGAAACTGATCCATTCAAACCCATCCATGTCTCTAGAAGGCCACTTATAAAAGCCCTTGGAGCAAGCTCCTCTGTGCAGAAGCTGATAAACAAGAAAGATAACGTTTTCTTGTCCCTTCGCCTCTTTGTCCGAAGTTCAGGCCTGTGAACCCTGTCTCCAAGAGAAGGCAGGTAGACTCGGGGGAAACAAAGTCTACCAAGTGCAAAGAGTACACTGCTTACTAAACAGCTTTGCTTCTAGATTTAAGGGCAATAAAACAAAATACTGAGATAACTGAAATCCTTGAGCCCCTTAAAAACTTTAAGGGAAGACACTGTTCATCAAAGGCTCTTCACCCGAAACATCTAGCTCAAGTTTTAAACAATTTTCTAGCATAAGCAGTGAAACAAGAGTGGCAAAAGAGAAACTAGGATCTGTATATGGAAAGGCTCTGTACACAGTGCTCTGCAAGGAACTGTGCTAATGAAACGGGCTTCTTGACCCGTTCTTTACCAGAATTTACCAACTAATGCTATACCAGTATCACCTCTCTTTTTCTCCTTCTCCTGGGCTGAGCCATACAAAGGCAGCCCTCTCACACAGTAACTGCCTTCTGGTAACGTAGCAATAAACATATATTAGAGTAAAATTAAGGGCTAGGAAAATGCCATGAAGAAACCTGCAATCTACTTGAACAGTTGCTTCACATATTACACCAACAGCTGCTCTCTAAGCCAAGTCCTGCTGCCTAATCTGTTCCTGATCACTCAGTGCACCACTCTTTATGTGACAATGCACTAGAAATCAAGGGAATTATCTGTTCATCCCTATCAAGTAAATTGCAATCCTCCTCTGATTAGCTACCAGGCTGACCCAGAGAGCTTTTCCTCTTTAAAGGCAGGTACCAGCAAGACAGATTCCCTGCACACCAAAAGGAGGAATACCACTCATTCCAATGATGCTGAATACTCCGCTTTTACATACCTCCATAGCCCTGTAAACATCACTACACAGTACATGCTGCTACAGCACATACCACCCCTTAGCGTTTGTCTTCAACAAGGAGGATGCCAGTTCACAATCCAGGATTTGGCTGTTTTAACAACACACACAAGACTCAGCACAGCAGAGGGTTCTGTCTGCTTCCTTACAAGGCTTGGTTTTGCCCATTAGCTCAGTGAGAAAGTCAAAGACCAGAACAAAACACCAAGTTCTGAGGATGCAGCAAATATTCAAACATTCAACAGAATTTTATCACCTTTATCTGACTAAGCCACAGCTTTCTTCACAAAATGTTACCCACTGCCAGTGAGAAGCACTCATTCCAACCACAGGATTCAAAGGATCTGTGTGTCAAAACTTCCACCTTCCCTTGAAGAAATGCACGCAATTCTGACATGAGGAAATAGAAAAAAAAAAAACCCAAACAAACCACAAGTTACACAAATCTAACTCCTGGAATGAAAAAAGCCTCTCTACTTTAATCTTTTCCCAACAGCACACTGCTCAGTTCCCCCTTTCACAGCACCTCATCATTCACTTTGTATGAAAAGCTACCTGCAGCACAGAAATAGTTATATAGGAGCAGGTTGCTGAGCCAAGGCAGACTCCTAAGTGCAGATTTCTCTCAATTCCTTACCATTGGATTGCCTGGTTTACCTCCAGAAATGTCTCTACACAACTAGTCTCGAGAAAACTCACTTTTTAATGCTGCTTCACATATGTAAGTCCTATGGATGTGCTATCAACACTGATTTTGCTAGGGGAACATGCACATTCAGAACAGTAAACCAAAACTTACAGGGTTGTACGCCATCAGTCGCTAAAGATGCCCTATGACTTTACACATTCTTCTTCTCTAAAATGTATCTGTACTATATGCATGTGAGACTGCATGTTTATAAACAGCAGCATCAACAGGAACTGTTTGTTGTATCCCCTCACTCAGAGGGAACACACAAAAAACGTGCTCAAAATACCAATCAGTGAAGGAAAATGGCCAAGTGACGAAGTGCATTAAAATCAAGTACTGCAGTTTAAGCAAAGTCATTATCACAGCTAAGTGCTCCTTCTATGCTACTGAACAACACAGCATGTTGCAGCTCAAGAGTGCAGTTATGACTGCCTACCCTTCTGAAGTTAAGAACAGCCAAGGAAAGAAGAAACAACATGCTCATTTCTTGCCTCTTAAGTCTCCATTGTGAAATAATGCAAGATCCAGACGGTTGAGAAACAAACTGGGACACTGAACAACCTCTATCAGCTGTGCAGCATTTCACCAGCCCACGAAACTCTTGTGAAATCAGAGACAAGAGGTGGTATTTTTCAAGTCCTCCTCACAAGTTATTGGCTGTCCCTTCCACCCAAAAGGAGATTTTGTCTTCTCCTTCTCTGCATTAAATGTTGAAGTCAATTTTTAGGGTCAGATGCTTTTTGTGTCCAACTGCCACAGTTTGCCGTCCGAAGTTTACAAAGGATTCTTGATGTTTCTGTGGCCTTCGACCCAAGGCCTGTTCTCCAAAAGCACTGCACTATTTAGAGGCTTATACACAAACATCTTAAACCAACACAACCACCCTTCCAAATAAGGCTAGCACTACATGTTTTCCCCTGCCATCCAACTTGACTATTGTTAATCCGTTTGTTTCCTGTTGATCAGTAATGACAATCAGTCACCCTTCTTGGCATCCCCCAGCGAGGAATTCCCCATCCTGCTGCTCTTCCTGAAGAGCACCCTGCTCCTGTACCTGAAGTCCATTATCTTCCAATTCGCCTCTCCTCTTTTTGTCCAAATCCCCAGTTTCTAACATCACCTTGGTACAAGGGATTCAGAATTCGTACTTGTTCTCTATCCAGCCTCCTGCCACCAGCTGCTCTCTGCAGCTCTGCTATCCACGTGCTCCAAGTCACTATTTGCTTCCTACAGCTTTGATGCTAACAGCGATGCCCCATCACACATCCTGATCCTCAGGCTACAGCTGGGTGCTGTCCTCACCTCATTCACTTTCTCCATCTCCAGCTCCTAGGGTTGTGAGCACAAACACACATAAGCAGCGGGAGCTCAAAGGGTAGAGTTCTTTAGGGCAAAGATAACCATTTGATTTCTTTTGAACCTGATGTACATTCATACTGCTGTACAAGCATCAAACAAGAACTGTCAGAATGACAAAATTCCAGCAGCTTTAGGGAAGCAAAGCTGTTAACAGCAGCATGGGGGGAAGTGTTTAACCACAGGAAGTTCACTGTTTATCTCTCTATAAACATCCTCTGCTAGGCTCCCAAAACAACTTTCACTGTACCATACTTTATTACTTATTTTTTATGTCCATATTTGTAGCTCACTGCTTGATTCATAAAGCTTGAAGCCAGACGGCATCCAATGCCAAGAGCAGCTTTAGTGCAGCCTATTTACAGACAAAACCTTTCACACAAAGCCACACCAGGTAAGTGGCAGTTACTAACAAAAACACACACTTCTACTGCCTGCAAGTCTTACTTTAGAGGGTCATTTAAAAGTTGTCTTACTGGTCTCACCAGCTGTAAAAGCTCAGTCAGCCACACATGGCCAGAACTTCTCCTTGAAGACCTCGTAAAGCACAGACTGAAAGAACCAGCTCTTCAAAGCCCTCTGACAGCTAAACCCTGGCACAGGTACCCAGGTTTCTTCTTCCCCAGGTAATGAGTTGCTACAGCTTTCAGGAAATCAGACTAAAACCAGCTAACACAGGTAAGTCCCATTGGAGATGGATCTGCTGAGTCCTCAACTAGAAGCATGTATGATTCTGCTCACCCATCTTCTAAAAAGGTAAAATAAGACTAAAAGTAGTGCACGTCTGCACACAGGACATCAGCATGAATAAGGAAATAAACCAAACCAAAGGAGACTGAAAGAGTTCATCTTCCTTAGCCTAGGAATTCAGAAGACATCAGAGCAACTACCTTCACTGCTTCCACTGGAAAGCTGCTCTTGAGGACAAGAAATCCACTTCCAACTTGAGCTTATGTTAAATACTATTGTTCAAAACACAGAGTTACTTGCAGCAGCAGAGATGTGGAATGGGTCAACCCAACACTGCCCCACATAACCTAGCCTGGGCAGTCCATCCTGTGCTGTCTCGGCACGGCTACAGGACCCATGGGTCACACTGGTACATCAGAACACGGGATGACACACGATACATGGAAATCTGAGGAGAAAGGGCTTCACAGTACGCTTGCTCAGGAAAAACTAAGAGTGTTCCATTTGCTGAAACAAGATGCATGCTTTTATCAAGGAAGAGTAAGTCCTGCTCCTCTCTAGGCTGTTTGTAATTACTATGGATCACAAATGACTGTAGACATATTATAGGTAGAGCTGCAAGAGCAAACACGTGCAAAAGGATTGATTAAAACTGTCTTTTCAAATCTGTTTTCTAGGAGAAAGGTTTTTCAATTGTAAGGGGTCCTGGGCACCAAAAATAGAGAATCTAAAAGGAATCTTAAAAAAAAAATAAAATTGGTATACATGGGTTTAGTTATAGCTAAATAATTCTGCCAAGACGACTCTGTCACCAGTTTACATATGACCAATATACAATTTTGTTCCTATGGGGATTTTTTCGGTGTATCTGTGCCACATAAAGGCTAAAGCAAAGCACTCTCCTTAGCGGGTTCACAAAAGCCATTAAACACACCTTCTGACACTCTTCCAGCATTCAGCTCCTCTCAACACCTGCTGGTTTTCAGGTGCTGGAGGGGTTCAGTTCACACAGAAACTACGTCTGCTTCCCTAGCTCAAACCAAGGCAGCTCGGGCTTTGTGTTTAGCAAGTGCTGCTGGACCAAAGCAGGGCCAGAGCCGAGAGGCAGCAGCGCAGGGCCGCCTGCCATACAGCAGAGCCCTCCGCTCGCTGTCAGCGCAGCCTCTTTGCATGACAAATAAGAACAATTCCACCCCACAAAGCCCCTTTTGTCTGCAGCACCGCAGTGTACCGAACCTCTCTTCTGTAAGGAAGGCAGCAAAGAGGAAATAACCACGTGAGGCGAAGTTTGGTAATAAACTATGGTTTACACACGCCACAGCCTTAAGTCTGTAGGGACTGATGACTTGGTTGGCTGCACCTCAAAATAAAGCAAGCCATTAACTCGTACAACAGATGGCCCGCTACAGCGCTGGCCTTAAAAGAAAGGAATGCAAGATACAGTGACATTTTTAGGGCTCCCTTCAGGAAGAACACGCTGACTACAAACGCTGCTTGGAACCAGAGCCTCGTACAGACCAGAAGCCACTGGAGCAGACCCTGTTTCCAGCGCAGTTCTGTCCCCTTCCGCCCGGGCGCAGCTCCAGCAGCTCCGCCGTTTTCTGCCTTCCCGTAGCGGGCGATCCCCCGCGGCCGCCCCACCTCCGTTCACCGTCCCCGCACATCACCCGGCCCCAGGGGACCATTAAACGAGTCCTTCACACCGGGCGCGGGTTCAAGCCCCAACGGTAACGGTGGCGGGGCCCTCCCGCCTCTGCCCGCTCCCCTCGCACCCCGACCCCGCTGAACGCGCATCGCCCCCGGGAGGGGCTCCGCGGGCCCCGGTTCGCCCGCTGCGGCCCAACCGACCGTGGGGATGAGGAGGAGGAGGAGGAGCGGCCGCCCGGGGGTCCCGCTGACAGCTGCCGCCCGCGGGGCTCCGGCAGCGCGGCCCGGGCAGACCCCCCCCCCCCTCCACCGGCCCCGCTCACCGCCGCGCTGGGCGCTGTGCCCCGCCGGCAGCCCGTTGTCGTAGGGCTCCCATGTCTTCTGCAGCGGGTTCTGCGTGAGCTCCCGGGCCGGCGCCGCCGCCGCCATCCTCGGCCGCCTCCCGGCTCCCACTGCAGTGGCGGCGGGCGGAGCCCAACAGCCCTCAGCGCGGCGGGGGCGCGGCCGGGCCCGGGCAACCCCGGCCCCGCGGCTGCCCTGGGGGAGCCGGCGGCTCCGCCCCAGGAGCCCCGGGGCAGCGCTGGGCCCTGCTCCTTCATGGAGGCTCCCCCGGCCCCGGGAACACCGGGTCTGCCGCTGCCTCGGAACGGCCCCTTCTTAAAGCCCCGAAAATACACGTCCAGGGAGCACAGTGCCTGTTAGGAGCACTGTAACACCGAACGAGTTATTCCTCCAGTTCACTGTTTTATGGCCTGAAGGCTAAATTAATATCGACGCAGAAAGCCATAAATAAACAATGGCTTTCTAACGCCTCGTTTAGTTTAATAATTCACGACTGACACTGGAAGATCCTGCTCTGCAGTACGAGCAGCGGCACGGCCCAACACAACACCCGCTGCCGCGTCTCCACTATCGGCTTTAGAGCCGAGGGAAACCCGGTTCCTCACCGGGCTGAGCCAAGTCGCAGAGAGCTCCGTATTCCGCTGTTACACACAGCCCTGTGTGCTTTACAGACGTCCAGTGAAGCACACGGAAAATACGGCAGCGGTGCAATACACCTTCTCATTATTATTCACTCTATTAATACTGGTCTAAATACAGCAGAAGGTCAGTACATACCTACATCTTTTTATACCAGACTCTGAGCATCTGAAGGTCACTTTTAGCTCTTCCATTACAAGAGAAAATCAGTGCCAAGATATCTGGGGAGACCGCCCTGGGGCGAGTTAACACTGTTTTTCCAAACCCTGTTTGCTTGACCTGCCCTTCCCTCCTTTCAAAGCCCATTTCCTTCTCTTCAGGGCTGATTACAGCCCTCAGCTGCAGGCGCCTGCACTCTGTTTTTCCCTAGCATCTTCGGCTTGATTTTGGGTTGGTACCAAAGCAGGGAGGGGCAGATCGGTGGTAGGAGTTACAGTATAAGGGTCAGAAAACTAGGAGCAGAGAGATGGAGTTTTTGATCACTTAAAAAGCTCCTTCATTTGTTTTATTTGATACATGTGCTTCCAACAGTTGCCAAAAGAGCTGCACGCAGGAACAGTTTAATCTGCGTTCCAGGTTAACCCCAGAAGCCTCCCGGCCTGTGCATAGAACATCACACAAGCAGATGGCTGACTTGAGGGTACAACCCAGAGCCAGGATGTACGCACCGTGGCATCCCAATGCCAGCGAGGTATGTGCCACCAGGGTCCAACCTTCTTACTAGTGCCTTCAGTAGAGCCAGGCAAGCCCACAACACGTGTAATAGTAACAGAAATATGACATTAACAGGAGTGCCAACTCACAAACCACACTTCTTGGGCTTGTTTTACATAAGTTTAGTAGAAAACGCATGAAACCCTATCTGTAGAAACAAAGTTTGTACCTCTTTCTGCACAGGAACTGAGGCACCACTCACACACCTGCCTTGTGGCTGAGAACCATGACCTGATGTTCTTCATACTAAAGCAGAGGTCTGCAAGGGGAATTACCACATTCCTAAGTCCCCCAAGCACAAGGCACGCCAGTGAACTCTTGTTCTCAGGCAGACTTAAACCAGTGGCACCTGAACGGAACTTCAGTAGGGGCTTGTCCAGGTGTCTGGAATGATATTAGAGGTGTGCACAGACACCTGCGAGCCTTCAGTTTTGTGAGGTGAAGAGTTCAGCTTGCTCCATGACAAAACTTCTGTTACTGTGTTCCTGATCAGACTTACTCCTATGGAGACAGGCTGAGAGCTGGGTTTGTTCAGCCTGGAGAAGAGAAGGCTCCTTAAGGGGAGACCTTAGAGCAGCTCCAGTGCCTAAAAGGGCTGCAGGAAACCTCGAGAGGGGCTTTGGACAAGGGCGTGTAGGGACAGGCCAAGGGGAATGGCTTTAATCTGCCAGAGGGGAGATTCATGTTAGATATTAGGCAGAAGCTCTTCCCTGTGAGGGTGCTGAGGCGCTGGCACAGGGTGCCCAGAGAAGCTGCAGCTGCCCCATCCCTGGCAGTGTTCAAGGCCAGGTTGGACAGGGCTTAGGGCAACCTGATCTGCTGGAAGGGGGCTGGAACTGGATGAGCTTTAAGGTCCCTTCCAACCCAAACCACTCCATGATTCTGTTATTTATGGTTAGTTGGGTTTTTTTAACTACCTTGGTGGCATACTGGGCTGTCTGACTGAGGACAGTGAAAGCAAACGCTGCAATCCTGTACCACTCACGAGGTCTCATTTCAAAACATGGTTTTCAAGAGCAGTACACTGAATTCCCAGAAGAAGACAGAATACACTCTGCTCCTTGGATTCCTAACAAGTGACAGAGATCACCTTCTGCACAACCACGTTGTCATCAGCCACTCTCCTCCTGCAGAGGGCTGATTCCTGCAGGCAAAGTGCAGGAGACTCTGCTTGCTACAGGGAAACCAGGAACAAGCCTTTACTCCTTGGAAGGCTTTTACTCAGAGCTTGCCCTCTCACGGCCAAGATGGGCTGGAAACTTCCCTGAAAAGGCGCCTCTCTGCAGAGGCAAAACATGGAGGGGAAAGGCAGCTTTGGGAAATGAACTGCTGCATAGGAACAGAGCGTGCTGAGCCAAGTGACAGTTCGATACTTACTCTTCTTAAGCTTCTGACTGACAAGTCAGGAGACTCCCCGGGTTCAATGCATAAAGCAAGTGGTAATTATTTCTGAGACAAGGAGAAATAGATACTGAATAGAGGTTTCTGCTTGATTATACACAAACCCTGCTTTGTATCAGTAAATACATAACTATATAATAGAAACTCCACAATAGATGCAAGTCACTTTCATATACAATTTCCCTAGTAAAGATACCACTTTGCAGTCTGACAGCCCATTAACCACCCAACTTCTCTGCCTCCTGTCTTTCCACTGTCGCTCCAGCAACACCAGCTCGCTTATTCTTGGGATAAGGATGATTTCCCAGTCCTCCAGCTGCCTGTGCCCACAGCACGCTGAGCACAGCGGCTACAGCTCACCAACACCCAGTTCGCGGGCCCTTCTGCAGCCAGAAGATGCAGGAGACGCCCGCACAACGACCGAAGGGCACATTCACAGCCCCAGCTCACTGCGAGGTTTAACCGCAGCCGCCAGCAAGTGCCCCCACAGACCGCAGGCTCCCACCGCACTCAGCAGCGCCGCGGCGGCTGCGCCCTCCCCGGCGAGCGGGCGGAGCCTCCCGCGCCCGCCAGGCGGCGCCCTGGCACCGCCCGCGGCCACTCCGCGGGCGCGCAGGCCGCCGGCTCCCCCCGCGGTCCCAGCTCCGCGTTAGGAGCGCAACTGACGGCGCTGCGAGCACCGCGCCAGGAGGTGCCAGAGCGCAGCAGAGCTGGGGTCGTAACGCACCAGCCCCTGGCTTCTAAACGCACAGGAGCGAGAGGCTACAGAAAGCTCCTTTCCAACCCGAACCACTCCGAGAGGCTAAAAACAAAGCATCGGGGCTAAATATCCCCATCCCTCTATAGGTATTAACACCAACAAACTGTATTTCACCATTAACCCGATCTCCCATTTCTCTCAAGCAATTCTCTTTCTCCTATGCCACGAGGTAATTTTTTTAACCCTGCATTATCAGCTACTTAACTCCCCATTGTGAGAAAACCAGTAGTATCTGATCTCTACACACACGACTGGCAATAAATAGCTGGCAAAAAAAAAAAAAACAACCCTAAATCCAGATGTGCCCTATTGCAACAGGTAGGTTACTGTTCTAGCTAGAAGTAGCAAACAGGAATTACTTTAAAATATGCCATCTTAAAATAGGCATCTACATTTCCTACATATCACAACGTAGAGAGGAGGAGAGATAAGAGTTGGGGTCCTCACTCCCCTTTAAGGTAGCATAGAGAGAGCTCTACCCTAACCCCCCAGCTTCCCACTACTCCAGAAGACTTCAGCCACACAGGACAACACAAGCTCAGTTTCAGTACAATTTAAGGAGGCACAGAAGAACACAGGACATGCAAAGATCTGTATGTTATTTGAGGAACAGACACACATCTTACATACCCAGCTTTAACATCCAGCCAGTACTCCCTAACATGGACTAGATGGCTCAGACCAGCTAACATTACAGTTACGTGATGCTATGTGTACACAGTTATGTATACACATATACGTTTGTATAGAGCATACAGGACAATCATAGAATCCTAGAACAGTTTGGGCTGGAAAGGACCTTAAGATCATCCAGTTCCAACCCCCTTGCCATGGGCAGGGACACCTCCCACTAAACCATGCCACCCAAAATCCCTATTGAACTTAGAACTGATATTCTATTTTAATGAAGAAAAAGATGTCAAGTCTACCTTCAGCAGGCTCGTGGCAGTCCTTCATTGACCAACAGCTATGCAGCTGGAAGCATCACCCGAGGACAGCCACCGACAGCTAGCTAATATACATGGCAGTTACGACACTGCAAGCCAATTAGAAGAGACTGTGACCAAACACACAACTATGCTTCACCTTTCTGTTCACAGGTAACAACATTCCAACATTTCAAAACTGGAAACGTGGTGGAATGGGAGAGATTTCTCCCACACACCTTCCGGGCTGCAGTGCTGATGGTTTTGTTTTGACCAGGCATTTGTTACCATGCTCTTACATGGTGAAAAGCTGCAGCTTTGGGTAATGACAGCATCCAAACCTGCAGCTGCACTGTTTCCACTCTCATGACCAAAACTGCTGTAGAGCAGATGGGACACTTGGCCTTTTCAATCAGAACCCTTACTACACTAGCACCTCAGCAGGGGCCACACTGCTCCCTCCCCCAGGTAATTCCCATATTCCTGAAGCATACAGATCAGGCCCGGCAGGTTTTTTCCTCAGTGTGGAAGAGGAGCCCTTAGCAACCTGCCGAAAACACAACACCCCTGTACTAGGCATGTTGTCACCTTTGTAAGGCAAGTACTAGCTCAACTTTGCTCAGCTGCTAAGAAGCCTAAAGGAAGCTGCACTAGCAGCCAAAAAGGTGGCTCTTCCTCCCTGTCTGTTGTGCAGCTCCTGGATAATGACAAAGACTGT